CATACATTAATTCTATCAATCCTTACAACCTCAGTGTAGGAGAGTCAGATCAGGTATTATTCCCATTTTACAAATGAGAAAAGTGAAGTCAAACAGCAGAGGAGTGATACCCATATGCAACAGTAAACAAACAAAAAAATATTTTAGACCATTACCTCACACTATAACAATATTTAAAATGTATCATAGAGCTACATGTCAGAGAAAAAAGTATAAAATTTCTACAAAAACACATAGGAAAAATCTTTCTAAATGGGTTGGGCAAAGATTTCTCAGCATGATCAAAAACACTACCCACAAAAAAAATTGATAAATTGGACTTCATCAAAATTGAAAACTTTGATTCTTCAAATGATGCCCTTAAGAAAATGAAAAGATAAGCCCGAGGCTAGGAGAAAAGACTTACAAATAATATATCTGATAAAGGACTTGTATCCAGAATATATAAAGAACTCTTACAACTCAATAAAAAAATTGCATTTCAAAAATGGTAAAATAATTGAATAGACATTTATACAAACACAACATGCAAACAGTCAATAAGTATATGAAAAAAATGATCAACACCATTAGCCATCAAGGAACTATAAATCAAAACCACAATGAGTTAACACTCCACACCCAACAATAAAAAGTGTTGAGAATGTAGAGAAATTGGAATACTCATACACTGCTAGTAGAAAAGTAAAATGGTACGGCCACTTTGGAAAACAGATTGAAGCTCCTCCAAAAGTTAAACATAGCATTACCATATGACCCAAGAATTCCACTCCTAGGTATATATTCAAGAGAATTAAACACAAATGTCCACAAAACACTTGCACATGAATGTTTATAGTAGCATTATTCATAATAGCTAAAAAGGGGAAACAACTCAAATATCTATCAACTGATGAATAGATAAACAAAGTGTGTTATATCCATTCACTAGAATATTATTCAGCAAACAAAAAAGGAATGGAATACTGATAATGTCACAAATCAGTATTTATGACATTATCAGTATTCCATTCCATTCCTCAAAAATGTTATGCTCAATGAAATAAACCAGACACAAGAGGATATGCGTTACATAACTCCATTTATATGAGTGTCCAGAAAGAGAAAATCTACAGAGATAGAAAGTGGATCTGTGGTTGCCTGGAGCTGAAAGTGGGAGCAAGGACTGTTTGCAAATGGGCAAGGGGAAATTTTCTAAGATAATGGGAATGTTCTATTACTGGATTGTGGGAGGAAGGATAGAGCAAGATGGCTCAATAGAAGCCTCCACCAATCATCCTCCCTGTAGGAACACCAAATTTAACGACTATCTACACAAAAAAATAAGAAAAAAAATCAGGTGAGTGATCACAGCACCTGGTTTTAACTTCATATTGCTGAAAGAGCCACTGAAGAGAGTAGGAAAGACAATCTTGAATTGCCAACGCCACCATTCTCCTATGCATGTGATGGCGAATCTGTATGCTTGGGGAAGGGAGAGTACAGTGATTGTAGGACCTTGCTTGGAACTCAGTGCTGCCCTGTCACAGCAGAAAGCAACACTGGGCAGAACAAGGCTGATGCCCATGGAGGGAGTATTTAGACCAGCCCTAGCAAGAGAGCAATTGTCCATCTCAGTGGTTGGAACTTGAATTCTAACAAGCCTTGCCACTGAGAGCTAAAGTGCTCTGGGGTTCCAAATAAATTTGAGAGGCAGTCTAGGCCACAAGGACTGCAACTCCTGGGCAAGTCCTAGAGCTGTGCTGTGCTTGGAACCAGTGCATCTGGGGGGCGTGAGACACTAGCCAGGGCAGTCAAGGGAGTAATTGCACCACCCCTCCTTCAACCCCAGGCAGTGCAATTGGCAGCTCCAAAAGAGACCCCTTCCTTCCACTAGAGGAGAGGAGAGGGAAGAATAAAGAGGCCTTTGTCTTGCATCTTGGATACCAGCTCAGCCACAGTAGAACAGGGCACTTGGCAGAGTCATGAGGACCCCATTCCAGGCCCTAGTTCCCAGATAACATTTTGAGACATACCTTGGGCCAGAAGGGAACCCACCGCCTGGAAGGGAAGGACCCACCTTGAAGGGAAGGACCCAGTCCTGGCAAGATTATTTAGTCAGCAGGTAATGACCTGCTGACTAAATAGCACTTTGGCCCTCAATGATCAGCAGCAGTAGCCAGGCAGTACATACTGTGGGCCTTAGGTAAGACTCTCTGAGACATGCTGGCTTCAGGTGTGATCCAGTACATTCCCAGCTACAATGGCTATGAGGAGAGACTCCTTCTGCTTTGTATTGCGGCGTAGATACCAACTCAGTCACAGTGGAGTAGAGAATCAAGTGGGCTCCTGGGGTACCCAGTTCTAGGCCTTGGCTCTTAGATGGCATTTCTGTATCTGCCCTGGGCCAGAGAGGAGCTCACTCCTCTGAATCACGAGTCCCAGGTCTGGCAGCATTCACCATAAGCTGACTGAAGAGCCCTTGGGCCTTAAGTGGATACTGGCAGTAGCCTGGCAGAACTCCCCATACCACGTGGTGGTGGTGGCCACTGGGAGAGATTCTTCTGCATGAAGAAAGAGGAAAGAAAGAGGAAAGGACTTTGTCTTGTGGTTTGGGTACTAGCTAAGTTACAGTAGAACAGAGCACTAGGTAGATTTCTAGGGTTTCCAACTCTAGGCCCTGGCTCCTGCATGTCATCTCTGGGACCAGGGAGAAGTCGCTGCCCTGAAGGGAAGGACACAGCCAGGATGGCTTCATTACCTGCTGATTGTAGAGCCCTAAGCCTTTGAGCAAACATAGGTGGTAGCCAGGTAGTGGTTACATTGGGCCTTAGGTGAAACCCAGTGCTGTGCTGGCTTCAGGTCTGACCAGAACAGTCCCAGTGGTAGTGGCAACAAGGGTGCTTGTATCACCCCTCCTCCAGCTTCAAGCAGCTCAATACTGGAACAGAATAGTAAACCCAGAAATAAATCCATACATCTACAGTGAACTCATTTTTGACAAAGGTGCCAAGAACATATTTTGGGGAAAGGAGAGTCTCTTCAATAAATGGCTCTGGGAAAACTGGATATCCATATGCAGAAGGAGGAAACTTGATCCCTATGTCTTGTCTTATACAATGATCAAATCAAAATGAATTAAAGACTTAAATCTGACACCTCAAACTATGAAACTACTATAAAAAAACCAGGAAAACTCTCCAGGATATTGGAGTAGGCAAAGATTTCTTGAGCAATACCCCACAAGGTATTATGCGCAACCAAAGCAAAAATGGACAAATGGGATCACATCAAGTTAAAAAGCTTCTGCACAGCAAAGGAAACAATCAACAAAGCGAAGAGACAACCCACAGAATCAGAGAAAATATTTGCATACTATCCCTCTGATAAGGGATTAATAACCAGAATACAAACAGAGTTCAAACAATTCTATAGGGAAAAAAATCTAATAATCAAGTTTTAAAATAAGCAAAAGATCTGAAGAGACATTTCTCAAAAGAATACATACAAATATTAAACAGGCATATGAAAAGGTACTTGCTATCACTGATCATCAGAGCAATGCAAATCAAAACTACAATGAGACAGCATCTTACCCCAGTTAAAATGTCTTATATCCAAAAGACAGGCAATAGCAAATGCTGGTAAGGATGTGGTGAAAAGGGAACCCTCATACACTGTTGGAACATAAATTAGTACAACCACTATGGAGAACAGTTTGAAGGTTCCTAAAAAACTAAAAATTGAGTTACCATATGATCCAACAATCTCACTGCTGGGTATATACCCAAAAGAAAGGAAATCAGTATATCAAAGAGGTATCTGTACTCCTATGTTTGTTGTAGCACTGTTTACAATAGTTAAGATTTGGAAGCAACCTAAGTGTCCATCAACAGATGAATGGATAAAGAAAATGTGGTACCTATACACAACGGAGTACTATTCAACCATAAAAAAGAATGAGATCCAGTCACTTGCAACAACATGGATGGAACTGAAGGTCAGTATGTTGAATGAAATAAGCCCAACACACACACACACACACACACACACACACACACACACACGCACACACCCCAAACTTCACATGTTCTCACTTATTTGTGAAAGCTAAAAATTAAAATAATTGAACTGTTGGGGAGAGAAAGAGTATAATGATGTTTACCAGAGGAGGGGTGGGGGGGAGATGTGGGAATGGTTAATGGGTACAAAAATTAGAATGAATAAGATCTGTACTTAGCAGCACAACAGGGTGATTATAATCAACAATAATTTAATTGTACATTTTTAAAAACTAAAAGTATAATTGAATTGCTTGTAACACAAAGGATAAATGCCTGAGGTGATGGATACCCCATTTAACCTGATGTGATTATTATGCATTATATGCCTGTATCAAAATATTTCATGTACCCCATAAATATATATACTGCTATGTACCCACAAAAATTGAAAACATTTTTTAAATTAAAAAAAACTGAATTGTAGTGTTAATTGCACAACTCTATAAATTCACTGAATTGTGCACAAGCCAGGGGTGAATTTTATGATATGTAAATTATACCTCAGGAAAGCTAACTTTAAAACCACTGAATAAACCTTCATGAAAAAGAAAAAGAAATCAGCAGAGGAGGAACTAGAATACAGGTTTTCAATGTTCCTTCTACTCTATCACCTGCCTCTGAGAAAGGACGAGAATAGCAATAACCTTTTCAAAAGGTTCATAGAATCACAGAGAAAATAATCATCCCACCATGATTTGAAAATACAAAATAATTCAAAATGCCTGGTAGTACTGCTATTTTGACCTAATCCATAACACACTTGTGTTAGAAAATACCTACTTTCAACTATTAATATTTCAGAAACCCAGGAAAATTCTGTAGTGTGTAACTACAAAATTGTAATACGAATTTTCCTAAAACTCATATAAGAAAGCACTATTGTATATAATTTGTAGTACACAAGACAGTTCAGTTCTTTAAAATTAACCAAAAGTTCAATATTACTATTTGACTTACGGTGCGGCTAATGTGGCTCAGAGCATCTTCAAAAAAGCCCCAAACTTCTTCCAGGGGACAGAGCTCTACACTTGATGCCCCATCTGGCACTGAGAGGTTAATCAAGTTGTGCATACATTTGCTAAAAATCAAAAAGAGAAAACTCATCCCATAAGGAAAGAAATCATTGGCTTCATGGCTAAGATAAGTAAAATCTGGATCTCATCCCAGACTAACAGTTTCAAAACACTTCTGTTCTTCCCTTGATTTTATCTGGCTTCCAACCTCAGAAGACAGATTTTTGAAGCTGTAAAACAGGTTGACCAATCCTTTCTTTTTTCATGCCTATGGTTGTCTTTCATTCTTTTTTTTAGCTTCCTGAACGAAAAAGTTGTGGCTGTCTATTATATTTTATGAGCTGGTTCAATTTACAGGCATTTAAAGCATCTCAGTACTTCCTCAAATGGGGAAGGGAACTGGTGTTTAAAGTGGAATGATTCCACAAGAACTGTCTTTCATGTCTTAAAACAGGAAGACTGTAATGATGTTTTCCAGACAAAAAAGTCACACAACATCTATTTTTCCCTATGTCTGGACGTAGAAAACAAAAAAGTCCCCAGTAGATAATATTTTATACAGCACTTATTGGTGCTCAAAGTGCTTAAAAAATGAGGCAAACATAGAAAAATGTTAACATTTGTTAAATTTGGGTGCTATGTGCCTGTAATTCCAGCTACTTGTGAAACTGAGATTGAGGATCATTTGAGCCCAGGAGTTCAAATCCAGCCTGGGCAAAATCATGAGACTCCATCTCTAAAAATAAAACAAATAAATCTGGGTGGTGGAGACATTGGTGTTTGCTATATTAACCTCTGTACATTTGGAATATTATTTAGTAATGAAACAAAGAAAGAAAGATACTTAGCAGTTTTATTATATATACAGATTCGCACAAAGAAGCAACTTTTCCCCTTTTATTCTCATTTGGGAAACCCAAGCTCCTTGACTTTGCTGAATAATTATTGGTCTATAATACAACTCTCAGTATGGAGCTGGTCACAGGAGTGCCCTCAGATCATCCCATGTCATCTTTTAAATTGGGTCAGTTAAGAATGACTGGTTACTTATGAGACATTGACTATAGTTCTTTTGGCTATCAAAAAACTGGATTAAGTTTTGAATTATATTTACTAACCTGTATTGTGAAATATCAACTGATTCTTCCTTTTTGTAGAGCAATAAAGCCTTTTTCAAGGCTTTGATAGCAATGGAAGGGTAGTGTGCAGGTGTTTCCATTGCTATTACTAGATGAAGAAAAGGAAAAAGGTTATGAACATCATAATGTCATCCATCACAGTTTTCATCCCAGGCTACCACTTGCTTTCTCTAATAAAACTGGGCTGAAATAGATGAACAAAAAACAAACAACAATGAATTTTATAAATGATGAATCTACAGCCAGTTTTGTAAATAGCTTCTACTTTCTGGGCAGAGTAGCATGGTGGGATTACCAGGTAACATCCTTTCTTCAGCAAACATCAACAGAAAACCTACTGTTTCTATGACCTTGCACACAGTCATACAGGTGAAGCAATATGAATGAGAGTCAAGGAAGGACACACTAAGAAGGAAATAGAAAGCAGATCAGTAAAAGGGCACTAATCAAAACAGGTTTGTACTAAAATGTCCTATTTTTATCTGATACTAAAAATAGGAAACACTTGACAAGGGAGTATCAGAGGTAACTAACCCTAAGACTTTCAGATGCATTTAACAGATTTTTAGAATTGGAGTTCCATTATACAAGGAGCACTGGTAATTGTCACATTCCCATAAAGTATATATCATCTGCTCCATGGCTCTAGGAATTCTGTCTTGGCAAGACCAAGGAAAGGCAAATGTGATTCTTGTGCCCTTGGAGCTACCTAATATTTTTATTAACCACACTGACACTCCTGAAGGTGTGAGATAAAAAGGGAAGATAATGAGGCTGTTTCCTGCAGTGTATGCCCAAAAAGGCTCTAAGTTCCCAAACTCACTTAAAGTTCATCCTGAAATTTGAGAGTGGCAGTTGTGTTAAAAAAAAATTACCAGTATTTCTCTGGACATTTCAACAAATTGCTAAGACTGTATCACTTTTGATCGCTGAATCACTCAGTTAGTTCTAGCTAGCTCAGAAAAACTTTCTGCAGTTTGAGCTCCCCTTATTGTGTAGTTACGTAATTAAATTCCACACAGAAAAAACTTGATCACCTACTAGGAACAACGAACTTTGCTGGGGTTTGTAAGTACAAATTAAGTAACTATTGTTTATGACCCTAAGGAGATTATAATCTCATAGAGTGAAGAAGATAAATGCACAAATGATTGTAATACAAAATAGTCTAAGAATGGCATTAGAGAATGAGAAACAAAGTTCTAAGAAGAAAAATTGCTTCCTACCTGGAGGTAAGAAAGAATAATAAAGAGAAGAAAGAAAAAGAAGTCATACGATAAGATGTAAATGGGCACCAGGCTTACAAAAGCATAAATATAGCTCTTACCTGCAATTGTTTCAAATGTTTTACATTCTAAATGAGGCAGCTCCCACGCTGGTTCCAGGAAGCTTTCCAGTGATGGATCATTCAATTTGGCTCTAACTTCAAACTCATACAGCAGAAGCAATTTCTCACATGAATCATTTGAGAAGTCCTCTAAGAAAGACGCAAAAATGCAACATTCTTTGTGATTATATTTTATTATTCTCTTTGGTTGTAATCTCACTAACTGGAGAGGTTTTGCTTTCAAGGAAAATTAATTTTACTTACAATTTGAAGGTCATCCTCAACTGCTGGAGAGAGATTCTAACATTTTATTTATTTTCTGTTTTTAAAATTTGATTCTAACATTTTGAAATATGTAATAAGCTCACCACTACTTCCAACATTCTGTAGTGCATTTACTAGAACTACCTATATTTTCTTAAACAATTGCCACGATGCTTCTAAATAGCCTGAGAAAATCCTGCTGCTATTATTGAATCTAATTCAAATCCAATGTTTACTTGCTTCTTGTGAACTTTCAACTGGGCTAGTGCTCACTCTAATGGCTGAGTTAACCAGAAGAAGATACAGTGGCTACATAAACTAACTGATTTTATTTTAAGCAGAATAGGAGAGTTTCCAAACTGTTTCATTAGTCTACAGAATTTCTTGGGTATCAGCATAGAAATAATCTCATGTCAGGTGTCATACACCAAACTATGTGAGACAGTTTTCACTCATCCTTCTTGGTAGACTGAACATTTAAAAATGTTTTGAGATATAGCATACATACAACAAACTGAATGAAGTGCTCTAACCTTAAACAGCTTGATGAATTTTTACATGTGTTCAAACTGGTGTAAAACTACCTAGATGGTGATAACACTTCCAATAATACGGAAGGTTGCTTTGTGCTCCGTTCCAGTCAATACCACTTTGCCAAGGTAGCAACTATCTTTACTTTCTGCATCTATGTTTTACATCTGTTTTCATGAGGAATCTTGGTCTGCAGTTTCATATATTGTCTTTGTCTCCTATTGGTATCAGGATAATAGTCTCATAAGATAAACTGGGAATTGTGCCCTCCTTTCTGGATGAGTTTGTATAGAGTTGGTATTATATCTTCTTTAAATGTCTGTTAGAATTCTTCAGTGCAGTTTTCTTTGTTGGAAAATTTTAAACTATGAATTTAATTAATAAGGATAAGAGTATATCTATTGCTTCTTGAGGGAGCTTTGATAGTTTGAGACTTTCAAGAAATTTCTACATTTCACCTAAAATTCTAAATTCGTGGACATAAAAGTGTTCATAGGCCGGGCGTGGTGGCTCAAGCCTGTATTCCCAGCACTTTGGAGGCCAGGCATAGTGGCTCACACTTGTAATCCTGGCACTTTGGGAGGCCAAGGCCGGACCATCACTTGAGCTCAGGAGTTTGTCCAGATACTGCTTTAGTTGTATCCTACATATTCTTATATGTGTGTTTTCGTCTTCATTCAATTAAAAAAAATTCCTAATTTCCCTTGCCACTTCCTCCTTGGCCCACTGGATTATTTTAAAGTATGTTGTTTAATTTCTAAATGTTGAAAGATTTAACAGATAACCTTGTATTACAGATGTATAATTTAATTCTATTGTGGCCAAAGAAAATACTTGGATATTTCAACAATTTTATGATTTCAATATTTTTAAATTTTTTGAAGTTAGTTTTGTGGTTCAGAATATGGCTTACAGTGATGAATACTCCTTGTGAATTAGGATAAACTGTGTATTCTGCTGTTGTTGGATAGTGTTTAAAATATCAATTAGATCAAATTGGCTGATAGTGTTGCTCACGTCTTCTATATCCTTATTATTTGTTGACCTATTCTATTGATTACTAAGAAAGGAATACTTAAGTTTCCAAGTAGTTATGGACTTGTCTATTCCTCATTTCAGTTCTAGCAGTTTTTGCTTCAAGTGTTTTGTAGGTCTGTAAAACAATTCCATTTACAATAGCATCAAAGAATACAGACATCAGTCTTATTCACAAGATGGTATAACCTTGTGAATAAAATTCCTAGGCAATCCAGTAAAATGCCATTATAACTAATCAGCAAGTTCATCAAGATCAATATACAAAAATCAATCATTTATTTATTTATTAGAGACAAGGTCTCACTATGTTGCCCAGGCTGGTCTCAAACTCCTGAGCTCAAGTGATGGTCCGGCCTTGGCCTCCCAAAGTGCCAGGATTACAAATGTGAGCCACTATGCCTGGCCAATTCTATTTTTATATAGCTGCAATGAGCAAGCTGAAAATAAAATTGAAACAATTCCCTTTATAACAGCATCAAAAAGAAGAAAATGCTTAGAAATAAAGAACAAGAGCCAGGCATGGTGGCTCACAACTGTAACCCCAGCACTTTGGGAGGTCAAGGCAGGTGGATCACTTGAGGCCAGGAGTTTGAGACCAGCCTGGCCAACGTGGCAGAACCCCATCTCGATGACCAAAAAGAAAAAAATTAGCCAAACATGGTGGCACACGTGTGTAATTCCGGCTACTTGGGAGGCTGAGGCATGAGAATCGCTTGAACCCAGGAGGTGGAGGTTGCAGTGAGCTGAGATTGCACCACTGCACTCCAATCTGAGTAACAGAGTGAGACTCTGTCTGAAAGAAAGAAAGAAAGAAAGAAAGAAAGAAAGAAAGAAAGAAAGAAAGAAAGAAAAGAAAGAAAGAAAGAAAGAGGAAAAGGGGAAAGAGAAAGAAAAGAGAAAGAGAGAGAAAGGAAGGAAGGAAGGAAAGAAGGAAGGATGGATGTGTATATAAGTTTATAGTTTTTAGTGTATAAGTTATGTAAGTGAAATTGAAATAAACAAGCTGTAGCAAAATGGAAACATATCCCATGTTCATGGATTTGATGATTTATCATTGTTAAGATAACACTCCCCAACATTATAGATTCAATACAATCCCTATCAGACTCCCAGCTCAGTTATTTTTTTTCAGAAACTGACAGTTGATCTTCAAACTCATATGAAAATTCAAGGGACCCAGAATAACCAAAAAAATCTTGAAAATCAAGAATAAAATTGAGGGACTAACTCTTCTTGATTTCAAAGTTCACTAGAAAGCAATGGCGGCCAGACGCAGTGGCTCATGCCTGTAATCCCGGCACTTTGGGAGGCCGAGGTGAGTGGATCACTAGTTCGAGAGCAGCATGGATAACATGGTGAAACCCTGTCTTCACTGAAAATACAAAAATTAGCCAGGTGTGGTGGTGGCCAACTGTAGTCCCAGCTACTTGGGAGGCTGAGGCAGGAGAATCACTTGAACCCAGGAGGCAGAGGTTGCAGTAAGCCAAAATGGCACCATTGCACTCTAGCCTAGGCAACAGAGACTCAATCTCAATAAAAAAAAAAAAGAAAAGAAAAAGGAAATAGAAAGCAATAGTAATCAAGACAGCATGGTACTGACATAAGGACAGACATATATATGAATGGAACAGAATTGACCACCCAGAAATAAAACATTATGTCTGTGGTCAATTAATTTTCCACAAGGGGCAAAGACCATCCAATGGGGGAAAGGATAGTCTTTTAAACAAATAGTTTTGGGACAACTGGATAGCCACATGATAAAGAATGAAGTTAGACTCTTACCTCATAGCAAACACAAGAATTAACTTGAAATGGATCAAATATTTAAAGATAAGAGCTAAACTATAACACTCACAGAAGAAAACATAGGGGTAAACCTTCATAACTTTGGATTTGGCAACGGATTCTTAGATATGAAATCAAAAGCATAAGCAATGAAAGAAAAATAAACTAGATTTCCTCGAAATTAAAAAATTTTGTATTTCAAAGGATATGATCAAGAAAGAGAAAAGACAATTGACAGAGTGGGCCAAAGTCAAGTCATATATCTGATCGAGGACATGTATCTAGAATACATAAATAACTCTTGGTACTCAATAATAAAAGGCAGCCTAATTAAAAATTGGGCAAAGGATGTGGATAGATATTTCTCCAAAGAAGATATACGATGGCCAATAACCATTTGAAAAGCTCCTCAACACCATTGGTTATCAGGAAAATTAGTCATGAGGAAATCAAAACCACAATGAGATATCACTATATAGTCACTATGATGGCTAGAATAAAAATGTCAGGCAATATTAGTGTTGAGAAGGAGGTGGAGAAACTGGAAGCCTCATACATTGCTGGTGGAAATGTAAAATGATGCAGTTGCTTTGAAAAACACTCTGGCAGTTCCTCAAATGATTAAACACAAAATTACCATATGACCTAGCAATTCCACTCCTAGGTATATACCCCAAAAATGTGAAAATATGTCCACACAAAAACTTGTGCATAAGTATTTACAGCATCATTATTCATAACAGCTAAAAGATGGAAGCAATCCAAATGTCCATCAACTGATGAATGGATAAATAAAACATGGTATGCCCATGCAATGGAATATTTGACCATAAAAAGTAATGAAGTACTGACACATGCCACGACATGTATGAACTTTAAAAATATGCTAAGTGAAATAAGGCAGTCACAAAAGTCCGTGTATTATTTGATTTCATTTAACTGAAGTGTTCAGAATGCGCAAATCTATAGAAACAGAAAGTAGATTAGTGGTTGTTCAGGGCTTGAGGGAGAAATGCAAGGGTAACTAAAGGGTATGTTGCTTTCTTTTTGAGGTAATGAAATGTTCCAAAGTTGATTATCGATGGTGGTTGCACATATCTGTGAATATACAAAAGTGTACTGAATTGTACATTTTGATGGGTGAACTGCATGGCATGTGAATTATAGCTCAATAATATTGTTTGAAAAATTGAATTTATATTGTGTATTCTTTTGGGGCCAACTTCTTTTACTCATAATGTCTGTGATATTCATAAATACTTTTGTATGCTATCAGAAGTTCATTCCTTTTATTGTGTTGTAGTATTCCACTGTATGAACATACCATAATTTATTTAATCCATCATTCTGATGATGAACAGTAATGTTGTTTCAAATTTTTAGTTCTTATGAATAGAGCTGTCTGGAACATTCTTTGGGAAACGGATGCACTCATTCCACCTGAGTATATATCTAAAAGTGGGATTTCATGGTCACTGCTGGGATAGAAACATGTTTGGTTTTAGCACATACTGCCAAACAGTTTTCCA